ACTGCACAGTAAGAAAAACGAAAACATATACTTCTAATAGTTATTTATTTCTTTATATTCTAATAATAGCCGATCAACATTTGGTGGTGCTACATATGTTATGTGTAATGCAAAAGGTATTGGAGAAAATCAACTTATTTGTCATCGACCATTACAAAATCTTAATGCAATGGAATTTGATCGAGAAAAACGTCGTTTTCGTCGACCAAAAAATCGTGCACCTGTTAAAAATGATTTAGATGATTCTCAACATCATCATTCAGCATTAGGCATTCGATTATTTCTACGAGAATTTTGCGTAGCATTCTTAGATAATTGTTACAATATACTTATGCCTCGTGCAAGGGTACTTGTTTTTTTTTCTGAATCTCATATTATATATCTGTAGTTACTCTGTAAAATTATTCGACCAAGTTTATTTTCAATTCTGTTCGCTGCCATCAACGCTAATAAGAATCTAAGTAGTGATTTATATAGAGAGTTGTATTTCCAACAAAAATCTACATCAAACATTACAGATCACTGTAAATTATCGTAACATTACTGTAAATAGTTGTATACTATTTAGATTCTTATTAGTGTTAAGCAAAAAAAAATTGAATATAAATCTGATCGAATAATTTTGTAAATCACTATGTTTTATATATAATTTTTATCTTAGGATATGATTATTAAATCTACATGTTTACTTAGTGATGAAACAAATTTTTTTTGGGCAATACGATTTTTTACAGAATTTAATCGACATGCACATACATCAATTGATCGCATAAGGTTTAGTTTTTGTTGTTTTTAATATTTCATAGACGAAAAAATAAAATCTTTTATTTTAGTGAAACATTACAAATGAATACATTTCATTTACTTCATACAAAAATTGATCATTATAGAGAAATGATTAAAATTGATAAACCTGAAGCAAAACTTTGGGCAAAACGGTAAGAAATTTTCGAATTTGTTTTCGTTTTTTTTCAAAAGAAAACGTTGTTTTTTCTTTTTCAATTAAGATTACAAATTGGTTTTGGTGCTTTTAAAGAATATATTCTTTGTGTTAAATCAATGTTAACAAATACTAATGAAGTTATTATTCGTGCTGCAACAATTATCAAAAGTAAAAAAAAAAAACTAAAAAAATCATTTTTTTTATTATTCTGCTTTATTTTGTTTTTTATAGATAATATTTTCTATATGCAAGAATATCGTGAACAAATTTATATTTTACTTAGAGATTATGATAATACGAAAATGACTAAGTAGGAAAAAAACAAATCTTTTCTTTTTTGTTTTCGAACTATTTGAAATTATTGAATAGTATTTATCTTCATGATCTTATTGAAAGTACTCATGAATTTCTTAAAATGCTTGAAGAACATACAACAAAATTAAAACATGTTTTTGTTCAACGTTGTCGTACAGCTCGTAAATCAACAACAACAAAGAAAAAAAAGAATGAAAATACTGGTAAATAAATTATTAAGATAAAATGTAATAAAAAAATTATTTTTTTTTTTTTTTTGAGAAAAAAATGAACCACCAAATGAACAATTAGAAGAAGAATGGCAAAATCAAATATCTGAACGATTATCATGTTTATTACAAGGTTTAGAAGAAGTTTCTATTAATAAATCAGATGTATGTCCATTTGATGCACTTTCTGAAGTTCCTATTGATGATCAAAGGTTTGAAAATTATCTTTTCTGTAGATTTCTAATTTGTTTTTTTGAATATTTAGTATTACGGCTGTTGCTCGAATTCAACATGCATTACGAATAAATAAATTAGATGAAGCTATTGCATTATTTCGTGCTTCTCGGTAGATTTGATTGATTAAAATTAAAGAGTGAAATTTTCTATTTTTTTTTTTGGTTCTAGAGAAGTATGGCCAACAGAAAAAACATTTGGTCATGAAGATATTGGAGCTGAAGAAGAATTTAATTTACTTCGAGAAATTTATATGACATCAAATATGGATAGTAATGAAATATTATTATTTCATTTCATATGCATATTGTATTTTTGAAAATGCTTATTTTAGATTTATTACCAAAAAATACTGATGAAGATGATGAAAATAATGAAGAAGAATATGAAGAAGGACATGATGAAGGTATGAAATGAGTATATCACGAAAGATTTTTTTTTTCAATTATCTGTAAGATTAAAATCGATTTGTTATTGGTTCGTATGATCTAAAGTAGACAGTCATTTGAAGAAGAAGAAGAAGACTAAAATAGATTTTTCTTCGTGATCTTTAGTACTCGATTTAGTGACGATGAAATTGATCGGAAGACTTAAAATATTTATGATTTTGCAAGGAAATCTCTTCAGCTGTCTTCTTATGTCAATAATGTTTTTACCTATAGATACTATATAGTGTTCTAATAAAAGTCCTAAAAGGATTTAGGTTCCTATTGAGATAGAGTAACTAACAAAACGTGACGCGTTCTACATAGATAAAAGTCATTTTTATTCTTATGAAATAAGTCCCAAGAAAATAGATCGTTGTAAAAAAAAAGGCGAGCGATCCAAGTGTAGATTTATCGATTCGTTCTAGTTTTTTTTCTTTATATATCGTTTTACATAATCTTCTAATTATCTTTTGTCTTGAATCTTCTTTTATACGACGTTTTCATTACTATGACTTTAGAATTAGATACTTTAGTAGAGAAAAGGAGTTAACATCTGCTCTTCAATTAGAAAACCTATTATTCAGTTATTTGCTTATTATTTTGAGTAGACTCATTGTTAGGAGTGTTGTCAGTTATTTTCGATGATTGATTAATACTCATTATTAATCAAAATAAAATCATTAACAGACGACTCAAGTATGATCAATAGTTTCATCAGTGTTTCGTGATGTCATTCCGTACCCTAGCTTATCTAAAATATTCTAATTCATTGACAACAACATACGTGCTGTATCTTCGCTTTCATTCGTATTAGTGAATGGTGATAGTTGTGATGGAACTAATCTTCATAGAACAAAGCGAGGTATTAGCGACTGTAATAAGAGAAGTTCGTTTTGCTTAATCTGAAATTACACGTGCTTGAGTTACTAATTGTTCTAGTTTTCTTATAGATAGTGTCTTAAATTAATTTGTTCTTGTAAATCAGATTAACATTCAACGATTCTTTCATATTCACTAGATAACGAGTGATGATGACTATCATGTTAAGCACAAAGAAATGTGTTCGAATAATCATGTATTTGACCGCCAATAATATTATTAAAACAGATACGAGAATGGAAATACTTCTGATCATGTTTATCCTTCATATGAACTCAATACTAGCAACAATTCTGACATGTCATTCAATTATTAGTCAAGAAATGTGTAATAATACAGAATGTGTATCCAATCGAAATTTGATTTTATTTAAATGATATGTTATATTCATGAAAATTTTTAACAGTAAATCAGAAGTCATTTGTTCTTTGTTGAAAGCAATTTTGAATACATCCAATATTCTTAGTTGATTGAAGATTTCATTCAATTTCTTCTTTGATATATTCGCCATTGTACTGAAGGAACACGTAACACACAAGAAAAGCAAAAGAATCAAGAATAAATTTCTGCTTAATTACTATGATGTTAATATTATTGATTTGGGACAGATATTTATCAGTAGAAATATTGTGTATGACTCTAGATTATTTACTTCTAATTTTAATCGATCACTATGTTGATCAAGAGTTCTTGTTATTTGAAAAAATCATCAATTATGCTAGCTGCTGATGCATTGCATAGTCAGCTCTTCAAGTAAACCGCTGGGTCATAGTTCATTAAGGAGTATGATATATTATTTAAAACAGTACGTTTCAACTATTCAAATGGAAGATGACATTATTGTTGTTCGAAATACTATTGTGGATTTTATTTCGATAAATGTGCGGAGTTTGAGGCTTTTGATAAGTTTATTGAACTAGTAATTTTTCATTCATCAGTCGATAATACATTTTATTGTTTTAATATATGTACACTATCATTCTCACTAAAATCTAAATTTAGTTAGGTGTGTTTGAGATGTAGATGATTCAAACAGAACATTAAGATATTGACAAGCACCAAATGTCGCATTAAAATTTTGACGAGCGCACATGGCCATTCCTTTCAAATTGTACGTTACTGTTGTCTCGATATTTACACAGCTTCCCTGTTAATGATTATATGCTATCGCAATAATAGATGAGTTATTTGGCTGTAAATTTAACGACGAATGTTTCTTTTTAGGACGATAATAACTGTTGATTTCCCTTCTCCTTCAAGTAAGTAGAGAAGGATGCTGTCAAGATAAGGGTGTAAGCAAAAGGTCGAACGGCTGTTCTCAAGAAAGGAAAGGATAAAAATGAGTTTGATACTTTCAATAGTAGTTGTCAATCATAAATACATAAGATTTTTAGAATTTTTTTATTTCATCTATTAGACTTTGTAACAGTTTGTTTACTCATTATTTTAGTTTATTAAATTCAATAGAAAAATGATACTACTAGAAACAAGATACTGAAAAATCACAAATATCTTTAAAACTATAATATTTTTTAGTGTCTTGGCTATAGCATCATTATTTTTACATTAAATCTAAGAATAATCAGCAAAGAAAGTCTTACAATATCTGATAGATGATAAAATTATATTTTTATCGATTGACTATTAATAGAAGTAATTAAATTATATGCTTAAAATTTTCTAATTCTATAATTCATAAGAATTTCATAGCTTACTGATTGTACTTATAAATTCCATTTTTCTACAAGCTTTCGTTTAGTATCAAATTTATTATTTTTGTAATTACTATTTATATATATGGGGTTGCCCAGGCAGGTCGGATACCCCATTGATATTTTTTTCTATTGTAAGGATAAAACATTCTATTGTTCGGGTCATATGAGAGAGGGTCATAGATAATCCTAGATTGGCCCGAACAATACCGTGTTGTATCCTTACAATAGTAGAGAAAAGTTACGAGCTCATAGATCCGCTGGTAGTAGCGTTTCTCTACTATTCTAAGGATAAAACATAGTATTGTTCTGGCCAATCTAGGGTTATCTATGACCCTCTCTCATATGACCCGAACAATAGAATGTTTTGTCCTTACAATAGAAAAAAATATCAATGGGGTATCCAATCTGACTGGGCAACCCCATATATATATTCTATACATTTTTCAAAACGAATATCTATTTCTAGATGAACAAGAATCAATTCATACAATTGAACGTGAAGAAGAATTTGACTTTAAAAAGTTTATAATACGGTAAGCAAAAAAAACATTAAATAATCAAAGTCTATACTTTTCAAAAGATTACTACAATCTATCAGAATATTCATCGAATTGATATAATTCCATATAAATAACAAAAAATAAGTTTCTATCAACATTAACTTCATATTATAAACAAAAAACTTGCAACATAATCTTTAATAAATAGTAATCAGAGCCTTAATAATTATTATCTACCAGTTTGTTTATGTTTATATAAATATGATAATATATGTGAAAGTATATTATATATGACCTAGATTATCTTCATAACGGATATAATAACTTGTATAAAATTATCATTTTCTTTTTATTATTTTAGTTTTGCACATTCAAGTATACTTTCATCATATATTGATGTTCTTCGCACATATACAAGCAATACACCATATTTAAATCATTGTATAATTCGTATGTTTTATCGTATATCAATTGATTGTAATTATCCTGGTATATTTTTTCAAATGTCATTATTTCGTATTTATCAAAAATTTTATCTTGATCCATTAGCAAAATCACAACAATTTTCTGTAAATTTTGCTTGCATATCGAATACTTGTTTGTTGTTTTTTTTTTTCTAAATGTTTTTTTTTATTTTGTTTTATAGGAATTATTACAATTTGGTACTTGGTTATTACGTAAATTTTTTGTAACTATACAAAAGAATCCATATATATATGCTGAATTACTTTTTTGGAAAGATCGAAGTATTCTTGAAGATATGCTTGATGGATATCGTCATACTACTCGTACGACGAATGAAGGAGAAAAGTAAAGATTTGTTGTTGTTTTTTTGAATATTTATATATTGCTTTTATTTTATTTTGTTTTTTTTTTCATATATAGGAAAATTAAAGCAGGATCATGGTCAATTGAACATCAAATTGAATTACGAGATCTTTTTAGAAAAATTAAAGAAGAACAAGTTGAAAATATTGGTTTGTAGAATTGTTTTATTTTGTATTTGACTTATTTTAATAAATTCTAGGACTTGAACAAACTGATATTATTGATCGAATTATGTTAGAATTAACGGATAAAACAAAGACAAGACGTCAAATAATAAAAGAATTAAAAAATCAAGATTTAATTAAAAATGCTAAAGAACTTAAACTGTATGATCAATTTTCTTTTTTTTTGTTTTGATTCTTTATAATTATTACATTTTATTTTTTTTCTTTTATTAGTAAAAAAACAAAAAATCGTCAATCAAAGAAAAATGATTTTCTTGATAATTCAAAATTTCTTAGTTCGGATTCAGATGTTCCAGATATAGATGATGATGATGATGATGATCGTTCTATTGAAAATAAATCAATTTCATCTGAACATGAACAAGATAATTCAAAATCTGATAATATTATATCAACAGAAATTCCTAAAAATACTGAACAAGAAGTAGAAGAAGAGGAAGAATCAGTACCTGTTATAATAAAACAAAGTCGTAAATTTGAATCTTCATCAATGTTCAATGATAATGATAATGATAATGATAATGATGATGATGATGATGATATTTCTTCATCACGACCAATTAAAAAAGCACGTCGTCAGTTGGCATCTTCAAGTGAAGACGATGATTAGTTTATTTTTCTGTGTACTTATGTTTTTTTTTTTGTTCTTCTTGTGTATTAAAATAAAACAATATCAAATTATCATATCTGGTTTTTGTTTTGATATACTTTTATAGAAACTTTTCTCTATAATTAGTGAGATGATAACAGAGCAAAAAAAATGTACATCATATCTGTCATGTATGTAAAAAAAAAAACATGACCTACAGATACATTGTCGTTGATCTGTTGTCTCTATCTATTAAGTTATGCGAAATTATAGAAAAAATAAATGAATAATGATGATATTTATCATAGAATATCAAATTCTTTCTATATTTTTTTTTGGTATTTTGAATGTATGTAAGAATAATTATACATATGTTGTCCGATAAATAGAGAGAAAAGAAAAAAAAAACAAATCCATCCAAATAAATATAGAATAGGCTAATCAGATAAGAATCATATGTCTGTTTTATTTGTCTCTTACACCTGTTCGAAATATATAAATTTACAATTATGAATATGTACAGAGTCTTCAATTTCGCATTATAACAATCCTCTATATAACTGAGATACGACATTACGAAAGAACGATAATGATGCTACCATCATTCTTACACACAATTCTCTTTCTTCGCTTTGTATATTAGAATCAACGTGATAATCATACTCTCATACATACTGTGCTATTACTGGTAGCTATACTGTTGGCCTATAGTGGGAGGAAGAATGAGAGATGCATAGTGTATAGCAGGGAAGACAACACACACATATATATATATAGCGAAGAAATGTAGTATCTTCTCTTCTCTTCTTTCTTTGTACTTCATATGTTTGATTATAAATGCATGTGCATGAGAAGAAAAGGAATTTCTTACTTTGCCTACAGACTACTGATATTTTATCTGTCCATGTTATTATTGTTTTCTGTGTCTGAACCATTCACGTATATGCCGTTTTCTTCCTTTACGGTTATTCTGTTCATTGCACGTCGTCTCTCTAATGTTTTCCTTGCGGTTGATGAGTGATCGTTAATAGAGAGAAAAAGAATTTCTAGCTCGTTCTAATAATATCGTGTAAGGAACATAGATACATCTATATAAGATGGTGTTACTTTTTTTTTTCCTATTGTAGTTTTATCTGTACAAAGAAAGAAGAAAAAAAAATGACCTTTATTGCTCTTTGTTCCTTGAAATTTGTCCTCGTAGCACATATTCTGCCTATGCTAAGGATATTTTCCTATTCGAGACATAGAGGATGTCTTGTATACATACGCCTAAATAGAAGTTCGCATAACCCTATGCATATTAATCCACTCTTTTGTTTTGTTATTAAGCGTCGCTAGCGAAGCGTTGGCTCAGCTGAAAAATTCTCGAAGAAAGAAAAAGACACGAACAACTATAATACAAACACAGTCTTGTGTTGTAAGTATAAGAACATATGAATATTATAAATTCTTCCTTTCTCTGTCTCTTTTTTTTTTAAGATGAAAAGGTTAAAAAGTATACTTCAATTTGAAGTGGAATAATCTTTGCTATACTGGTATATACTTGACAGTAGTATAGTTTGAAAGTAAAAGATAGAAAGAAAGACAGATAATGTAATCTTTGTTAATTTTAAAAAACAAAAAGAAAAAGAACTTTTATATATGTCAAATCATTATGATTCTGTATTAGATCAATTATCAATTGATAAATGTTAGTTTTGTTATACATATTGCCATTAAACGACTATCTTTCCATGGTGAGAATAGTGTTTCATTGAACTTTTCGATGTTCGCCTTTTGTCCTTTGTTTTGTTCCTATTCTTTGTCGACATGTGAAAGATTACTGATACCACTCATCGAGTGGTCAGTACAATGCCATGTCTAAAGTTAAGAGAAAGAAAAGGAGAAGATCATCGATATGCTATCGGGCGATGAAATGTCGCTCATTATATATATATTTACATATATATATATATATGTAGATAGATAGATATAGAAAGGAAACCAACACACTTGTGTGTATTATTCATAAGTTGTTCTAGTAAGCAAAAGGATAGATCGAATAAATAAATTGTTTAATTCAATTGTTTATCTCACATAAAATAATAATCGTGACAGATTGAGGATGACTAAGTTCGCCCACATATTTCGCCTTCTTACATTCACTTTTTGTGACTAAGAAAAGAAACATAGTGTGAATAAGTGCTTTAGTATTGCAGAGAAGGAAGAAAACAAAAGTTGATTCGTTCTTTTATTCTATTATTAATAAACCTTATGAGTGTAAGAATAATTTAGGTACTTGATAGTTCATTTGATTGAATATATATATATATAGAGCATATTTCCCGATGCATCGCACACAAACTTAATCGTAGAAATAACTATATTTTATTCTTCTCTATAGGGTAGTTAACATTCAGTCATCAGTATGTATGTCTGTTATAGTTTAATCTACTTTTTTTTCGATTCAATTGTTATCTAATGTATCTATTAAGAACGAGACTTCGATTTTTTTTCGTAGGTGGACTGTATTAAATTGATTTCATTGATGGTGTTACTATAGTTATTCTTATAGAACAAAAAAAAAAACTTCTCGTTGTTTAATATAATGATATAAAAATACAAAAGATAGAATGAAATTTTTTCTTTTGTCATTGATCATCTGATGATAAATAATGTCAGTAATATAAAAATCATAGTGCCATGTTTTTTTCTTTTAAATAAATTCATATTTTTGTCTGTTTTTTAAGTCATTTTGTTTTGTTTTTTATCAAAATATTTCATTGCGTGCACACATTTAATACAGGTGCCTCTTCTCTTTTCTTTTTTTATTTCTTCTTTCTATTGTGTATGTTAACTGTTTTATGAATAGACGTGGCGTTGGAGATTTTATTCTGTTCTTTCCTTTTCATATTCACATAGACACATACATACATGCATATATATATATATATATATGTATACGAATGAGAGACATACCGAAACCAATTTTTTCAAAAAAAAAAAATTTCATGTGTTCTGTTTTTTTTCTTTCTCATCTACTAGGTGAATCACATATCTACGATTCGAAAACGTATAACCATCTAAACTACTATTACAGGTCGTCGTTAAAGAAGAAGAAGAATAAGAACGGAAGAAAAAAATAAATATTGAACAGAAAGAAAAAGGAAAAAAAAATGTCAACTACGTACAACCAGTCAGCAAACGGCTATTCAGGTGGTGGAGGAGGAGGCGGACCTGGCTACACTGAAAATCTTGAATACAACGAGCAAGGTGAACATTTAGACGAAGACGAATTTGGACGTACCGAGGAAGGTAAATAAAGGTGTGAGAATAAAAAAAAAAGAAGAAAACTTCTTCATGTTATCTTAAATTATATGTTTTTCTTTTTTGTTTTTTTACTCATGAATAATTTTCTTTTTTTGTTTTTAAGAATTTTATGAAGATATGCAGCGAGAATTAGCTGATGATGCTCCATGGAAAAGAATACAACAAAATACATTTACACGTTGGGCTAATGAACATTTAAAATTAGTTAATCGTCATATTGAGGATTTACAATCGGAATTAAGTGATGGTTTAAATTTAATTGCTTTAATTGAAGTTTTATCACAAAAAAAAGTTCCACGTCATAATAAACGACCTAATTTTCGTTCACAAAAATTAGAAAATGTATCTGTTGTATTAGATTTTCTTGAAAATACAGAACGTATACGTCTTGTTAATATTGGTAAGTAAGTTTATTTTACCTATTAGATATACATATATATATATATAAATGTATGTGAGTGTATAGTGAAGAGATTTCTTAAGAGTATAGAAATGTACTTAAGACAAGTGCGTTAAGATTTGTCGTCTTTTTTTTTTTCTTAAAAAAATTTTCTTATATATCTGTTTTATGCTATTAAATAAGAAATTTTTTTTTTTACTTAGTTAATCATTCTTTATCAATATTGTCTAATTCGTTACCGAATATGTAAGAAAACAAAAGGTTTCATATTTCATTGAAGAAATAAAATCGAATAAAAAAAAAAAGAAAAACGAAAAGAAACGATACAACTGTTATGTATTGAGAATCGATGAAGCAATGAGCTGGAAAGAATAAAGATTTTTTTTTCTTCCTTCTTTTGTTCATTTAATGAGGATGAATTAAGACTATGCATATTAACAGATAAAGAATAAATGAAAATTTTTTTCTTTCCTCAATTGAACATTATTGCAATAAAACTGTACATTAAAATTAATTTATCAAATTTCATATGATAGGTTTTTTTTTTTTTTTGTTTTGAATATCAAATTATATCCCCTAATATTTACTATAGATATGAATGATTCTTTAAGATTGGATTGACGTATCTTCAAGGTCTATGACCATGAACTAAAACGTCGAAGTGAACCTTGATATCGATTTTTTTTTGTTTCGGGCTCAATAAATGCATGAAGATACGTCAACTAAATTTATTCAACACATTAATTTCTATAATAAATGTCACAGAAAAAATAAAACAGCATTTTGAGAGAAAATTTGTTTTATGTACAAAAAAAAAAAAAAAACAAAATGATTTATTCATATTATTTAATTTTTGAAAAAAAAAACATTTAGATGCTTCACATATTGTTGATGGTAAATTAAAATTAATTCTTGGTTTAATATGGACATTAATTTTACATTATTCAATTTCATTACCAATGTGGGAATTCGAACAACCCGATGCACCTGGTTCAGGAAGAGATGCAACACCAAAACAAAAACTTATGCATTGGATTCAAGAAAAATTGCCACCAGAATTACCAATTACAAATTTTACATCTGATTGGAATGATGGTCGTGCTATTGGTGCACTTGTTGATGCATGTGCACCAGGTATAAATATATAAAAACAAAATCATATGCATCTTTTTCTATCGACTTTTTTTTTTATTTAATTAGGACTTTATCCGGATTGGAATGATCAAGATCCAAAGAATGCATTAGAAAATGCTAAAGAAGCTATGGATTTAGCTGAACATTGGTTAGGTATACCACAATTAATACAACCACATGAAATGATTAATCCAAAAGTTGATGAACAATCTATGATGACATATTTATCACAATATCCAAGTGCTAAATTAAAACCAGGTGCACCTATTAGACCAAAGACAAATTCAGCACGAGTTCGATGTTATGGCAAAGGTTTGTACTTTAAATGATTACGTCTTCAAGAATAAAGATAGAAAGACAAAAAAAAGGAACCATCTGATGCCTCGTTCTTTTCTTTTTGAGTCTCACTCATTGAATGAATTAACATTTGTCTTTTATTCTTCATTTTCACGGTCACTTCTTTCGTAACATACAGTCTAAAATGATGAATTCATCTGAAAAAGTTGGAAATACAGAAATTTATTCATATAAACGTTATGTAAAAAAAATGAAGAATATTACTGAAGAACAATGGATTAAACGAGTACATTATTATCATTATCGTCCTCGTTTGTTTGAATATATATTTAACTTGAAATATTTTATTCATTTCCTTTTGTTTTCATTAGGTATTGAACCGAATGGTAATCATGTTGATACACCAGCTAAATTTCATGTTGAAACTTTTGCTGCCGGCAAAGGTAATGTTGATGTTGTCATTATTAATCCAAAAGGACAACGAGAAAAGGTAAAGATTTTATACATATATGTTTTTTTTTGTTTGTTTATCTATAAAAATATTTATTTATTAGTGTGATGTGGATTTTCGTAATGATAAAAATCAAACATATGATTGCACATATTATCCAACAATGGAAGGACAATATAAAGTAAATTAAGAAATTACAAAATAAAAAAAAATTTTTACAAAAATTTTTGTTAATAGGTTATTGTTAAATTTGCTGGACAAGAAGTACCAAAATCACCCTTTTCACCTTATATCGAAGGAAAAGCAGGTGATGCTAGTAAATGTCGTGCACATGGACCTGGTCTTGAACCAAATGGTGTTATGGTTGATAAACCAACATGGTTTGAAATCGATGCAATAGGTTCATTTTAACATTCATTCATTCATTTTCTTTTTTTCTATTAATTAATTTTTTTTAATACAAAAATAGATGCTGGTAATGGTCTTGCTGAAGTTGTACTTGTTGATCCACGTGGTCGACAAGATGTTGTACCTGTAGCAGTTAAACAAACTAGTCCTGGAAAATTTCGTTGTGAATATGTACCACGTGAACCTGGTCTTCATTTAGTAAATATATTATTTGCTGGTCGACCTATACCAAATAGTCCATATGGCGTTAATATTTCATCATGTATGTAAAAAATTTTCAAAAAAGAATTCTTTTTTGTTTTTTTAAAAATCAAAAAAAAAACAAAATATACATAAATAACTTATATATAATAGCATCAATTTCATCATACGATGATTTAAGAGATAGATTAACAACAAGTGAGGATGATTATTATTCATCAATTGAATTAGAACGATCAAAAAGTACAACTAGTAGTGATACAATATGTGCTCTAAGATATCAAAATGGTTTGTTTTATTATTATTATTATTGTTTCTTCGTAGACGGGAGGGATTAGTAATTATCTTTTTTTTTGTTTTTTTTTTTTATTATTTTACTGGAAATGGTGATGGATAGTAGTAGTATTGGAATTTTTCAAGAAGAATATATTAAGATTCTTTTTTTTTTGTTTGATTTTTTCTTTATAGCATCTGACGCCAAAAAATGTCGTGCTTTTGGACGAGGTATTCAACCAAAAGGTGTTCGTACTGGTGATGTAGCTGAATTTCGTGTTATTACAAAAGATGCTGGAGAAGGTATTATGAAAGCAACAGTAACTGGACCAGGTAAAAATTCTTTTGTTTTTATATAGGATTTTATTTTTGAAAAAAAAATTTTTTTTTTTTTTGTTTGTTTTAGATGGTTTGGAAATTCCTTGTCGTGTAACAAAAGCAAATACTACAACATATGAATGTGGTTATGTACCAAATCGTGCAGGACCTCATACAGTTAATATAACATATGGTGGTGCTCATATACCTAAAAGTCCATTTCCAGTCGATGTAGAACCATATAAAGATTCAAGAATACGAGCATTTGGACCAGGTCTTGAAGGTGGTATTATTGGTTTTCCAGCTGATTTTGTTGTTGAAACAAATGGTGAAACTGGTTCATTAGGTAGGTTATAAAAATATTAAAAAAAATTTTTTTTTTTTCTTAATTAAATTCTTATTATTCAAAAAAAAATAATTCATTAGGTGATATGAGTAAGTATCTATTTGATGTGTATTCTTTTAGTAAACTGCATGGATTGAACTTTGGATGTTTTTTGTTTTTGTTTTTTTCACTGTATAGATTAAAAAATTTCATTTTTGTTTTTTTTTTCTAAAAGGTTTTTCAATCGAAGGACCATCACAAGCACGTATTGAATGTAATGATAATGGTGATGGTTCAGCTAATGTTCGTTATTGGCCAACAATACAAGGTGAATATGCTGTACATATTCTTTGCAATGATGAAGATATACCACATTCACCATTTATGGCATGGATTGAAGCACCAGGAAATTTTGATTCGGATAAAGTAAAATAATAGATATTTTGTTTTTTTTTGTGACTAAAATATTTATGTTCTTCATCTTTTTTTCCCTAGGTTAAAGCTTATGGTCCAGGACTTGAACCATCAGGACAAATTATTGATAAACCAACAGAATTTACAATTGATACACATAATGCTGGTGAAGCAGCATTACGTGTTCAAGCTATTGATCAAGATTATCAACCAGTTGATGTTCATGTAAGAAATAATGGTAATGGTACATATACTTGTCGTTATACACCAAGAAATCCTAATCGTCATTGTATATTAATTGATTATGGTGGTGTTGCTATACCACATAGTCCATTTCGAGTAATATTTTTTTTGTTAAAAAATTAAATTAAATTAAAATACTCAAAAAAAAAATAAAAATTTCAGGTTTGGCCATCAGAACCATCAAATCCATCCAAAGTTCGTGTTTATGGTCCTGGTGTTGAACGTGGTGTTAAAATGAATACTCCAACACAATTTACTGTTGATTGTAAAGAAGCAGGACCAGGTAAAAAAAG